TATATGTATGTATATGTGAAATTCCCCATTGGCTTGTTTTGAGTCATTTGGACGGCAATCTTGGGCCATGCTAGATTTTCCATTTATAACTCATCAATTGTTTCACTTGTCATTCTGAGTATAACTCAAATTCAAATATCCCCTTATTTATCTTTCTCAAATAAAAAAATTCCCCAAACCCCGTTCAAGGAGTTAAATGAGGAATTCATATATTAAACAACCTAATAAAATCAATACAATTTTTTAAAAAAGTAACTAAAATATTTTTGTTTGACTGCTGCCAGCACCAAAGAAAATTATTCTGATTACTTATAAAAATTTGTTAAGTTGTTTAGTATTTATATTATGTTGGTTAAAAAAAGTTAAATGAGTGTAACATGTTGTTTCCTTTTCCTACTCTGTTGGATCATTGATAACAAACCAGGTTGGACTATTTCTCTCTTTGGCTTTCATCTCCCTCCACAAAACAAACTGAATCCTCTCATCTCATTTTTTTACACTTATTTCTTTTACCAACTTCAACATAAAGGCTAATGCAGAACCAAAAGTAGCTTAAGTTACAAACAAAAAAAAATATTGAATGTAAACGAAAAAATCAACAAAAATATGCCAACAACAAGAGCTCGTTTGGGCAGAAGACCATCCTCTTCTTCCTATTCATCAACTATTACTACTATAGTCTTTGTGTCATTATGTGTGTTGGGAGTATGGCTTCTCACCTCCACCTCTGTTGTTCCTCCCAAATCCACCACTCGGACGTCCACGACCGATTCAACCCCTTCTACTACTTCTTTTACATCCACAATTATGAATGCACACAAGACCATTTCTAACACTGTAAAACCAACTCCTGTTTTCAAAGACTCACAAGGAGACCTTCCTGATGATGCCCTTAAAACTGGTGACACTAACCGGCTTCAGGATACTAGCGAAATTGACAAGCTACAGACAGATGTCTCATCAGATATTACGAAGGATTCTGGAGGTGGAGGAGATGCTTTGAATGTGAATGTTGATCAATCATTGCAAGGTAATGAAAATGTAAAACCAGAGGAGGAGAAGAAAAATGTGAATCCAGTTGTGGCAGAGAACGCTCAGGGATTGCATGGAACCGAATCTGCTGACGAGCAAGAGAAGCAGAAACAATTGGAGACACAAACGTCTGAAGAAAGTTCCATCACTCACAAGCAAGAAGCTGAGCAAATAACTGCAGGAACAGGAAAGACAACAACCGGAAAAGAAAAGGCTGAAGAGGACGTTTCTTTAGATTCAGGAAATGATGCCCATGGAGTTGCAACAGATAACACGAAGAACATATTGTCAGATCACGAGCAACAAAAACGACTTGAGCAGCATCAACAACAAGAAGATGACCAAATGCAACAGAAACAGAAACCAGAAGAACATACTCAAGGGGTAACGAGTAAAGATCAAATCAAACATGAAGAAGCACCTTTAGTAAAAGATATTAAGATTCAAAATGATCACAAGGCTCCTGTAAACTTAACTAATAACACACCTGTTCTGAAGAATGAAAATCACAAGACCGAAATCATTGTACCAAAAGAGTCTAAAGAATCAAAGAAGGCCTGGTCGACACAAGCTGATCAGTCAGTGAACCAGAAAGAAAGACGAACAGTAGGTAAAAATAACCAAGACAGCAGCATCCCGGAACAGAATTGGCAGCTATGCAAGGTGGAAGCCCTTGCAGACTACATACCATGTTTAGACAACGAAGACGCAATAAAGAAGCTAAAAACCACAAAACATTATGAACATCGTGAAAGACATTGTCCTCAGGAACCTCCTACCTGTCTCGTCCCCTTGCCTCAGGGATACAAGACACCAATTGAGTGGCCTAAAAGCAGAGATAAGGTAGTTGTCTACTTAAACTACTTTGTTAGTACTTAATATGGATTGGGAGAATGTTTATCTTATGAGAATTTCTGCTTTTATCCAGATATGGTACCATAATGTGCCTCATACATTGTTAGCAGAGGTGAAGGGGCACCAAAACTGGGTGAAGGTTTCTGGTGAATTCCTTACTTTCCCAGGTGGAGGTACTCAGTTTATCCATGGAGCATTGCATTACCTGGATTTTGTACAAGAGGTATGTTATCCATCACCAACGACTACAAAAACAACATCATAGAATGATCAACCCGAAAAATACAAGAACATTTTAGAACTAATTACTATACTATATACTACATTAGACTATTCATTGCTGCTGCTGATTTATGTAAATCAACTGGTTGTAGGCAGTTCCAGAAATAGCATGGGGAAAGCGCACTAGAACAGTATTAGATGTTGGCTGTGGAGTCGCTAGTTTTGGTGGTTATCTTTTCGAGAGAGATGTTCTTGCAATGTCTTTCGCACCTAAAGATGAACATGAGGCACAAGTTCAATTCGCACTGGAAAGGGGAATACCTGCAATATCTGCTGTGATGGGTACTCAGAGATTGCCATTTCCAAGTGGAGTTTTTGACCTTGTGCATTGTGCACGCTGCAGAGTCCCTTGGCATGAGGAAGGTGTTTCCTAGAAATAATATATTTTAGAACTATTTAAACATTCAAGTCCTCATTTTGACTTTGCCTTTGAGTTGTGCATATGAATTCCTTAATAAAGTTTAAATTTGCAATGAAGGTGGTGCTCTTCTCCTGGAACTGAATCGTGTCCTTCGCCCCGGTGGTTACTTTGCCTGGTCTGCAACTCCCGTCTACCAAACTCTGGAAGAAGATGTCGAGATATGGAAGGGTAAGGCCTCATTTGTTTCTATCCTTTAATGCCATTAGAGTAAAATTGACACGTTTTTTTTCCTTCCCCTTCTTCGGTTATCTATTACCAGAAATGTCTAGCTTGACGGTGGCCATGTGCTGGGAGCTTATCACAATAAAAAAGGATAAACTAAACTCTGCTGGTGTTGCCATCTACCACAAATCAGACACAAATGAATGCTACGAACAAAGAAAACAAAACAAACCTCCAATGTGTAAACAAGATGATGATCCTAATGCTGCCTGGTAAGCTCATTGTTCTCTGGCAATTTTTTTGTTTACTCAGTGAAATCTGCCTGCCAATGCCATTTGCAACATCTACAAAGAATAACTGTAATTTCCACATATTTATTCGTTAGAAATACTTACCAACTTTTAATGAGATCGGAAATATTACACGTGTTTCAGGTATGTCCCCTTCAATTCATGTATGCATAGGGTGCCAAGTAAAGAAACGGAAAGAGGATATCAGTGGCCTGTAGAGTGGCCTGAGCGACTGCAGACACCTCCATACTGGCTAAACCGATCACAAGTTGGAATTTATGGAAAACCAGCACCAGATGACTTCGCAGCAGATTTAGAACATTGGAAACGTTTGGTAAGCAAGGTGTATATGAAAGGACTAGGAATTAGCTGGTCAAATGTGAGAAATGCCATGGACATGAGAGCAGTATATGGAGGGTGATTAACTTCTCTCTTGTACCTTTGCTTATGCACCAAAAAAGAATACTAACAAAAGGCTCCTCCTATTAATTAACAGGTTTGCTGCAGCACTTAGAGATCTCAAAATGTGGGTTGTGAATGTGGTGAATGTCAATGCACCAGATACACTTCCCATAATATATGAACGTGGTCTTTTTGGGATTTATCATGATTGGTGTGAATCATTTAGTACATACCCAAGGACGTACGATCTTCTACATGCTGATCATCTTTTCTCCCAGTTGAAGAAGAGGTATATAATACTACAGTAGTTTTGTTTACTTATGGAGTAGAACCATTGTAGTCAGTGGACTAACTAATGACTTTCATGTGGCATTTGTAGGTGCAAAATTGTTGCTGTAATGGCAGAGGTTGACAGAATAGTTAGACCTGGAGGTAAATTGATTGTCCGCGATGACTCTGCTACAACTAAGGAAGTAGAAAACTTACTCAAGTCTCTGCATTGGGAAATCCGGAAGACCATCTCCCAGAACCAAGTTGGAATACTAAGTGCACAGAAGACTTTCTGGCGGCCAAACGCTACTGCTGCACCTACATGACTACACACTCAACTCATCTAAATCTGTAGCAAGCAATTCTTACTTCGTAGCCTAAAGGTCTTCATGTACTGCTTTCAGCAGGCAAAGAAGCAGTTGTCGTAGCTCTTGTTATTTATTTTTCATTTCTAGTTTATTTTTTTATTTTTTTGATAGATAAAGAAGGCAAAGTGCTGCAGGGGTAAATGCCGTAGCTGTTGTTATTGATTAATTACACAATTACAATGGCAGAGATCTGAAGTTCACTATCTCCGTCTCTTCATCAAGCATGTCCCCCAGCCCTTTCATTTTTCTCTGTCTTCTTTGCCATTTTTACTTTTTTCTGCACGGATTGTTCGTATTTTTATTTTTCGACTCACGAACTTCATATTTGTCCAAGACAACTACTTGACAAAGATAGATTAAAAGACAGAACAAAAAATTCTATCATAAGGATAGATTAAAAATCTGACATATTTGAGTCAACTAGGCATGACACTTTCAGTCAATCCTAAGACTTAATCTACCCTAACCAAATCATTCTATTTACATGTGAATGGTTCTGCATCAGTGCAGAGCTCATGAAAAAATGGCACATGACGGTATTAATCAAATGCAACAGATTAGGTCAACTGGATATTTCGCTAAATGATTGAGTTATCAGGTCTCCTTATGTGCCATTCATGGCATCTCTTCATTCTTATTTCTCTATACACAATTTGGATCTACACAAGTTTTTCATCATGCCATTTGCTCAGAAGATCTATCCACCGGTTCTAGAATTTAGATGCGCACTTAAAATTGCATACCAAATTTTGAAATTTGAACATAACTGAAACAGGAGCAAAGTGTGTACTAAACAATTTCTCTAGTTCAACGCTTCTGTGTTATCCCATTCCATTTTACTTTGTTCATTTGTAAACAACCTATTAGCACTGCACGCTGAAAGTTATAGCAAATGAAGGTTATAAGCTCTGGAATGAAGTTCAGATCCCTTGTTTTTTGTCCAAATAGCATATTTTCAGCATAAGAAACAAACAAACAGCATATCAGCATACAAATATTTAGCTTACACCTGGACCTACCAAACTTAACTAAGCTATCCATGAGCGCATTGCAGCTTCAGAACTTCAGGAAAGATGCTTCAATCTCTTGACTTTCAGTACAACTTTACTCTTTCTTAAGAAGACTTTGCAAACGCCCACTCTCGACAGCATTTCGGAGATCTAATAAGATGCCAACACACAGATGAAAACAATTAAAAACAAGAAGAATCAAGTGTTACAAGCTGATAAATATTTCAGAGAACAGGAATCGGACAACTGAAATCGCAAAGCCTACCATCTGAACCACCAATATGCTTCCCATTCACAAACACTTGAGGGACTGTGCTGCGACCCACCAGATCTAGAAGGACATCTTGTATACGAGCGCCATCATCTGAACTAATATATCGTTAGTTTGAAACAATTCCATAAACTTCCATCACTACATGTCACAATCAATGTAGACTAAGTATAGCTCTTACGAGGAGGAAACACAGATAGGCAATGAAATAGTCAATGAAAATTGTATGTACCTCCATGAATAGTTTTCAAGTACTGTACTTTATTTTTATTTCTTGCTACAGGTATCAGGGGAGGGGGTATAGACAATAAATTACCTCTAAGATCAAGCTCCACCACAAATGGTTGTTCTTGAAGTTCATTAAAGATGCCTTTGGCACGCTTGCAGTACCTATTGTCGAAAGATAATACAATTTAAATGATAGCATGAGAAGGAACAAACTTCAAGACATTAACATGCACTTAAAGCTATTGTGATTCTCAGATGCAAGGTATTTTATGATGATTCTTCTTTTTTTATAACCGTGGTGTCCGAACCAGTTTGTGCGCACCAAGACTAATTCCATGGGATACCAACCAGGCTACCACCTCCCACCAACAACAAGTAGCAACCAATTTGCGTCCACCTCGACTAATTCCATGGGATACCTACCAGGCTGCCACCTACCACTAGCAACAAGTATCATGTAACTATGTCCACCAAGGCTAGAACAGATGGGAAGAAATCACCTAGTGTGTTTCTTTGCTAGGAATTGAACGAGACCTCATGGTACTCAATCCACATAATTGACCACTAAGCCACACCCTTGAGTGCTTCTTTCTTTTTATGGTCAAGATAAATGTGTGATCCAGCTGAGAATTAAATAAAAGGATGCATGGCATAAAAATCTGATGGTATACAGAGCACCGCCACATTCTATGATGCCTCAAATCCATTATCTTAAATCTTATTCATGGATATATATATATATATATATATTATATCTTAGCCTTACATAATGTTTATTCCAAGCAGCACAGAGAACATAAGAAATTAAATGCTCAGCTATTACATAGGTTGGTTTCTCAATAGCTTCCTCCTTTGCCAAAATGAAAGGTCTGGTTTTAAGACCCTTTGGACTCATAACTATTATCTAACGCAGATGGAAAATGATGTAAACTTCTAATTGTGGTGTGGGATCTTCATATATGCATACCAATTATTTTCAAATTTCGATAATGAAGAGGAATAAAAAGAACTTGATCTCTAGAAGATTTGTCTACGGCTACAAACACTTGATGTGATACCAAATTATAGTGGAAACGATATGGAATTGATCAATTAAAATAAAGAAAGCAATGTTATCAGTCATCCTCTTTAGGCAACAAATAGAAACATACATAATATCTCCTACTTGGAACCAAGATGAAACCAATGTTATCAGTCACCCTCAAGTAGAAAGCAAGCCACGGTGAATTCAAATGCAACCAAGGGGTTTAAACCTTCAATCCTCATAAAAGTTTCATTAAAATCATCTAATCTCCTGTAAATAACTAACAACTTACAATGAGATAATCCCATGTAAATGACTAAATTGGCCAAAGTCTAAATGTAGTAAATTAGGCTGGAGATAGAGAAACTAACCCCTAAAACTCTTAGTGATATTTCTAAAATTAACATGAAAGAAGATAAAACGCGGCAGAGAGAAAATCAGTACAGTTAACAAGCAAAGCAGAACAGAAACCCTAGAAAGCAAAGAAAAGATGAACTCTTTCCTCAGCAAGCTTTGCAATATGCTGCGAAAGTTCACAATTTTCTAATCAATCCTTAGTTTTGATCATACAGAGATACTTACGGACAATAGGATTTGGAAAAGATGGCGATCTTGTTAGAGTAGATGACATTTTGGACAAAAGCAGAAGGAGAACTAGAAGCTAGGGCTTCAGTTGGACCTTTCACTATCGCCATTACTCCAAATACAGTAAGCATCAGAAGAAGATTACGCTTGAAACAACCATTGACCTCCATTTTCTCCCTTTCTATTACACGAACAGTGGATCGCTCAAAAAACTGTTGAGTTTTGGACAAAAAGGAGAGAAACACGGGTTTTAATGTCTCGGCATAAACCCGAAGATTGATACTGCCAATTTTCTCTAGACGGTTACAAATTAACAGCGGAAATTTTGGAGAGATCACTGTTTTGGAAGAGGAGAACCGGAAACCGGATTTAGAAGAAAGATTGTAATATTGTCCAAAGCGACGGTTTCCTATTTTGGTTAAACGACCCGCCGGGTTGATCTGCATCGTCACGGAGGAGTTGACTACTATTTTCACCGTAGAATCGAAAGCGACACCACAAGATTAACCATTGGACTTTTTGGATATACAAATTACACATTTTATCGTAGAAACTTTTCTATTTAGAGTTAAAACTTTTCATTATATTGATATAAAAAAATAGTACAATTTATAGTTAGTATAATTAAATATCTATATTTTTTTTGTTTAAATTATCAAATTAATGTAATTTAGTTTAACTTTGAAAATTAATTAATTAGTTAAATTGGCTTTCAAAAAATAACAAATAAAAGTGGACGGAGAGTGATAATTATGTAGTATTAATGACTCATTATTTGAGTTATTTCCGATCTTCATATTTATTTTTTTATGATTGAACTTCTTGTTATACACGTAATATTTGCCTTGGCTTTTGTTATAAAACTGCATCAAATATAGGCATAATACATAAATATGATCTTTAACTTGGCGTCAACGGACAACTATGACCTTTAACTCTGGGTGTGCATAAATAGACACTTAAATTTGTATAAAATTGAACAACTAGACACATTCGTCCTACATGACACGTTACATGACAATTTTGTGTCTTATGTGTATTATGTCATGTAGGACACGTGTCTCTATGTGTTCAATTTTATACAAGTTTAAGTGTCTACTTGGGCACACTTAAAGTTGGAGGGCATAGTTGTCCGCTAAAGTAAAGTTAAGGATCATGTTTATGTATTATGACAATTTTAATCTTTGTTAAACAAGATCTCAAAATAATTTACAAGTTGCTTTCGTATTTTTGCGAGTTTTTGGCTAAAATTATCTCTGAAGTATGTCTTAAACTAAAGTACATCCTTATGTTATATAAGTGAACAAAAAATACCCTTGCACTATCTAAAAAGTTACAAAATTCATCCTTTTGTCTACTTTTTAAGAAACTCACGCCACCAACAAAAAAATGTGTCAAGTCGAATGAATATATGTACACGTGGTTAAGCTAGTCTAGTTGGGTGATTTTTCAAATTTTTAGAAATTGAAGGTTTAAATCATATTCAGAAAAAAAAAATTCAAATTCTAAATATTTTTTGTAAAAAGTATGGCCAAATACAACTCCAAATACAAAATTTTCAAATAGAGTAATTATTTTTTTATATTCATAACTAAACGTCTACGTATTTTCACTAAATTTCCAACATTTCTGTACATTGTATAAAATGTGAATTGCATTGTATATAACGTACATACATACTAAATATTTTATTAAGGGCTAACCCATCGGTGGCCACCTAAAGTTGACATCAATTTTCACTTGAACACCTTAACTAGGCTTTGTTCATTTTAGACACCTCATGTCATCCCCAATTGTGTCATTTTGACACTTTTTCGACAATCTGCCAAATTTGTAAGGTGTGTGTAACACACTCGCTGATGACATGTCAAAGTGACGAATTAAATAATGACACATGGCATATATAGAAAAAATAATTATAAATGATGAATCTTGAATAGGAAAAAAAAACTACCAATGCCTCATTGACATGTGTCATTTCTTTAACTAAATAATTAAAAAAAAACACTTTTAATAAAAAGAAAATTATACACACACCACCCCAAATTGTCTTCTCTACTACCCACCCCTACCTCAAACCACAACCCCTCTCTCTCACCCAGATTTTCTTCTCCACCCACCAGCCACCACCACCCCCGACCCTCCCTCACCCAAATGCGTCAAAAGAATAAGCTTTTTTTTGTTTGTTTTTGTCACTTTGTGAATATTGTGAGATAAAAACGTCTTTCTTCTAATAGATTAATGTTTGAATGCTTGATTTGGTGAATGTGGTAATGCATTTGCTTGACCTTTTTGGGGTTTTTTTTTTCTTTTTTTTTGGATTTCTGAGTCAATGCAAGTCAAAAATTGGGTCTTTGGTACATAAATATGGAGTCCCAAACTTTCTACTAAAAATTATATAGCTTATCTATTTGATTTGGACTTTTAATGTGATTATGATGTGAGAAGGCATACAAATGGATTGGAACGCTAAATTGTTTGTTGTGAATGTAGGATTTGATAATTGAAAATATGATTTCTTGCCATTTTTGAGTGTGTGTTTTTCTTCTAGAAATTTATGTTAATTTTCTCAAATTATTTTGAGGAGGAAGAAGGACAACAAAATAAGTGAAAGTACTTAAGCTTAAAATTTATGGGTGCTAGAATTCACTTTTTGTTTGTGGCATCGTCAAATTTATTTCACCGTGGAAAGAGTTTAAGCTTGGAAAATGGTAGCCAAAAAATGGGGAAGAAGAAGAAGAAAAAAGAGAGTAAAATTTGGTAAAATGAGGCTCTCACGCGCGTCTAGTGAGTGTATCACACTTGTTTGCCATCTCAGTAGAAAATGTCAAATTGACACAGCAAGACATGACATGAGGTGTCTAAAATGAACGAAGCTTAGTTAAGGTGTCTTAGTGAAAATTAGTGGCAACTTTAAGTGGCCACCGATGAATTTGACCTTTTATTAAGGAAAATCTCTAAATAGTAATTGGGCGTAATATTTTTAAAATGAACTTTTTTACATAATATTTCTAATGATGAGAACCTATTGTATAAATATTTCAAGACTTGTGTATTGTTGCAAGTCAATTTACTTGATGATACAAAAAATATATAAACTAACAACACACAAAATTTAATTTCTGAGAATGACAAATTCATTTCTTATCCATATATATATCCTTATTCATTTTAGATAACTTTGATCTTCTCATCATGGCAAAAACATGATTTTTTTTTTTTTATTGGTTCAATCAATTTTTTAACAAAAATAGACAGAAGGATGATTCTTGTTATTTTTTGAATAATATAAGAACTTTTTTTGCTCACTAAGATAGTATGCATTAGATTTGAGGGACATGATTTTAGCCAAAAACTCTATCTTTGCTTACATTATTTGCCAAAAATAACAACGAAGTTTACAAAGAATCGGTCTGCTCGTAAATCTGTCTTGAATAATTTAATCATGAATATAATATAACAAACAATAATTCATATGAACACAGATGAATATATGAATTCTAGATTCTAAATAAATCTAAGAAGGCTTAACATCTGGATTGCTCTGGTAAAGCTTATTGTATTCCTCGAGTTCTTCATAATACATGTCCCAGACGCATCTAACACATCCACTCCCGCAACAATCGTCCGGCAGCGGCTTCTCCGGCGGCGGCGGTATGGTAACCTTTGATTCTTCCTGTTTCTTCTCAGATTCCGTTTTGTTATTCTTCGTTGACTCTACGGTGATCTTGTTATCCATCGTTGACTCTACGGTGCTTTTGAGATTCGCTTCCTCGGCCATCGGACTTTTGAGTGCAGCGAAATTACGGCTTGATGGAAATCTAAGGTGATGAAATCGGATCAGATTGACAGTATGGATTCGTCCAAAAGTCAAATTTGTTATAGGCATGAGAAAAGCAGAGACGCGCTGGACATTTTCTGGTGGCCGGTGGCGAAGATTGGTCCTCAATGGCGTCGTTTTGGACAAGGAGAGGCCAGAAAGGGTCATTCCTCATATAACCAATCCGCGTGCACCGTTTGTGCCAGTCACGTGATGAATAATGTGTCTGATTTTTAATTATAGAAAAACAAAGGCAATTGTCTGGCTGCGGACAGCTCTTTTCGCCTCCAAGCCTTTTTCGTCAACTTGACAACTTTTCTTCTGTGCCAAATTGCACTAAATATTTTTATTTATTTTCCAAAAAAAGTATACTTCCCTATTTCAAATTATTTTTTGTATTTCTCTTTAAATTACTTTTCGTGTTTCTCTCTTTACCTGTTTTATAAAAAAAAAAATTTAACTAGAAGTAGATCTTATCCTTATTTATATTTGAGATATATTTTTATTTTTCATTAAATATTTACTTTATAATTAATTTATTATAGTCTTCAAGAACATTTACAGCTTAATGATAAATAAAAAGAAATAATTATTTTTATATCAACTTTCTAACAAATAATCTGAGATAACTATTTTTAAAAATTACCATAAATAATTTGAGCCAAAGAGAGTATAATACTATCCATGATTAGAATAGAATGTAGTTATTCACCTGTTCAAAAAAATATTTTATCAATGATGTGTTTTGGACAATTAATTGGTGAATTATCTTTAACGAGCTTGAGAAATAATTTGAACAAAGGGTATCTTTTTATACTAAATAATTTATAGAGGATTGCTAATAACGGATCAGATTTAGTAGTGTCTTCTCTTTAGGACTCTGTTGTAACTTCCTCATTGTATATAGGTTATAGATAAGTCTTACCTTTTTCTTAGTTTATCTCTTTGTTGTAGAAGTTGTACAAAATCTATATATACTTAGTTACAATCAATAAAATACACCGTTCCTTTCATTCTACTGGCAACTTTATACTTTATATGGTATCAAGAGCCAATTAACTCTCACGAGTAAATTTCTGTCGAGAAACCTCCCACCCTTCCCATAAAAATGGCCCCAGACATCACTGTAACCAACTCCGATGCCAATACAACAATTGTTTAGTTTAATCCTGTCACCCAGTTACCAATCAAATTAACTGGCAGCCACAATTTTTCCCTTTGGAAAGCACAAGTGTCCATGCTTATGCGTGGTCACAACCTTTTTGGCCATCTCGACGGTTCTCGCCCAGCCCCTGCTTGTACAGTGGCTCAAAATAATCAGGACATCGAAAATCCTGCATTTGCTTCATGGTATCGCCAAGATCAACTAATTTAAAACGCTATCTTGGCCTCAGTTGACCCAAATCTTGCTGCTACGGTTATCGCTGCATCCACTTCCCAGGCTGCTTGGGATGCTTTGCACACTGCGTATGCCAACAAATCGCAAACAAGGATATTTAGTTTGCACGATCGTCTGGCTCGCCTCGCAAAAGAAACCCTTCATGTCGTTGATTATCTGCACCAAGTTCGATCTCTCTCTGTGATGAACTTGCCACTGCTGGAGCTCTTGTGTCCAATGAGGAACTGATTGTCAAAATCCTCACTGGACTTGGACCTGAATTGCGTGAAATATCAGCTGTT